TATTTTGAGAAGGACCGGTACTTCAATCATGAGATGATCACACACCACTCTGAAAGTAATCCCACGTGGGCAGTCTCTGTCATTCACTGAGATAGACTGCCCTCTGCTGGTAAACACCAGTAACTGCTGGTACTGACTTCATCTGTGGGAGAACACTGTGCTGAACATCTCCGTGGGTTTTCACCCAATTCTACAGGCTGTGCCAGCACAGAAGATGCATACCCAGATTTTAGAAAACCTTTACCATTATCCCTTTGCCTAAATCAAACACAGCCAAAAGTATTACATTGATTAAGGCCCATTGACCTCACATGCTCTGTTGTAAAAAACTTCCTCAAAGAATTTATCTCTGGCCTCATTGAGGGCTAAATAAATCAACTACAGTTTGCAAATTAAACAGGAAAGTGAGTGGATGATGCCAAGATTTTCAACAAAATAAGATGCAGACTCATATTTTAACTGAGCACTTAGCATCTTATATTAACCTTTCTAATGAGACTGTACAGTGGCTTTTATTTTTTGTTTAAACAGATAGAGTTCAGCAGGAATGGTTTTATGTCTGATTGTATCATTTCTAGCGGTAGTTTACACCAGGGCTATGTCCTTCCACCTCTCTTGTCCATTATTCAAACCCATCCCTGCAGAGCTGGGGGGATAGCCACCTGGTCCACCTGGTCCAGATGATGAACACCATCCATCAATCAGATCCTGTTTTTAAAGCCCCATTAGTCTTGGTGCCCTCTGGGAGGTGCTATCCAGCTACCAGTAGTAGTATAATTTACAAATTTACAAATCAAAGTATATTGATTTGTAAATTATTTTCCCTCAGTTATTAGACTCTTGAATGCCAAAGACTGTGCAAAAAGTTTGTTTTTATGTTGCTTTCAAAGTTTAATTTACCATAACATTTAATTCTATTTACTATCTAGTTTTTGTCACTTTGCTTAAGATGAGAAAGTCATTGTTTGCTTACTGATTTAAATTATATTATTGCGTGTGTCTCTATCCATTTCTTGATTGCAAAGTTAATTGTAGTGTCTGCAGACTTGGGAGGAGAAGGTTGTGCTGTATGAAGGTAGATGCTCAAATAAAAGCAGGGATGTTTAGAAACAAATCTCTTCATATGCTATTCTTTTAAGAGAAGATGATGGGCAAGAGGAGAAGCAGTGGGTTCAATGATAATTTATACAAAAGCTTCTGTTCTGAACCAGGGGCATTTACTTGTGAATAAAGATTGCAAATTAGTGAAATATGTGTCTCCTGGATACCGAGGATACATCGGACCCGTCCTTCAAATCGGGCAAAAGGAAGGATGCATTTTAAGGCCGCGTAACGAGGATTCTTGGAATCCGAACAGACCTCAGTGCCGCACTATGACGTAATCGTCCTTCGAATCTGGCCTTCTAAGGACGCATCCAATGAATTCAAACAGGGCCTCTGTCTCTGAAAGGGGAGTCGTTAAAGTGAATTGTTGTCCTGGATGAATAGGCGGGTCTTCTGTTCCCTGCAAAGGGGTAGTGGTTGCGATGATAGCAGGAAGAGATCAACTCAATTGCTGCAATTTAAATCACAAATTACAAAATGAGTTTCCCATCAGCAGCAAAGTGACCAGTACTTAATAAGAAATAGAATAAATAGTTATATTAATTGAAACTTTAAAAACAACATAAAAACAACCCTTTGTTTTTCTTTTAGGAGCATTTAGGAGTTTAATTACAGAATGAAAAAAATGTCGACATGGATAGCGCCTCCCAGAGGGCATCAAGACTAATGGGTCTTTAAAAACAGGATCTGATTGATGGATGGTGTTCTTAGTTTCTGGAGTAAATGCCTACTCTATAGTAAGTTTTTCAAAATGATGGTCAAGCTATTTTTGTTCTCAACTGAAAAGTTAAAAGATTCTCAGTAAACAAATGATAAGAGATAAAATAGGTTTGGATAAATTAAAAGATTTCAGTTTACGCAGCAGATAAATAAGTTCTTGTCCTTTTTTTGTAATAGCCTCTGTTTCTTTGTCAAAGTTTAGTGAAGGGTTGAATTTTGAGACCAAATACTTATACATGTCCACAACTTCAACTTTTTCACCATGGAGGATACAGCTATCATGTTGTTCTGGAGATTTTTTTTTTTTTTTTTCCTGTAATCAGTTATGAGTTCTTTAGATTTTGTCACATTAAAGTCCAGATCATTTTCTCCAAACCGAGTGAAAACCTTAGACTCTCCTGTGGCCTGATTCATGGTCCTATAAAAGGTTTAGCAGACTGCTGCCATCAAAGAACTGGACCAGGTGGCTATCCCCCCAGCTCTGCAGGGTCGGGTGTGAATAATGTACAAGAGAGGTGGAAGGACATTGCCCTGGTGTAAACTGCTGCTGGAAATTATACATCTGACATAAAAGCATTCCAGCTGAACTCTATCAGTTAAAACAACAATTAAAAGCAACAATAAAATCTGATTAAAATCATTAAAATAAGATGCTAAATGTTCAGTTAATGAACATTTAGCAACATCCACTCACTTTCCTGTTTGCAAACTGTAGTGGATCTATTTAGCCCTCAATTAGGCCAGAGATGAATTCTTTGAGGAAGTTTTTTTTAGAACAGAGCATTTGAGGCTGATGGGCCTTAATCAGTTTAATACTTTTGGCTGTTTGGATTTAGGCAAAGGGATAATGGTGAAGGTTTTCTAAAATCTGTGATTCTATCCTCTGAAAAAGAATGTTCCTGTATTAATCTTTAGTAGAAGCAGTTTGTACTTCTTAGTCAGGCTTTTTAAAATGACTACTGTTTATTTAAGAGGTTCAAAACATGTCAGGTATCCTTAGATATCCGTTACTGTATGGATTCATCTTTATTTTATCCCTTTCAATACAGAGATTAAAGTATATTACAATACACAACATGTTTTCTAAAGAATTAACTCAAAGAAAACAATGAAATTATAGTTTTCTATTTAACCATAAGTAGAAATGAAAGACATGGAGTAAATACAGAGGCATGGTTTAATGATAATGGTAAATTATTATACGCGAACAGACAGAGAAGCATCAAACTACATTCATCTGTACCATATTTTCACGACCATAAGGCGCACCGTACTAAAAGCCGCAGTCTCAGTTATGTGTGCCATTTCTGTATTTAACACACACATAAGGCGCACCGGACTATAGGGCGCGGGTTTTATATACAGGTACATGTCCTCGATTACGATTAAATACCTCTACTGCGTATTCAAAAATAAAGCGGGAGCAAAACTGAGTATGTTTGTGCTTTATTTATGTATTTATTACAAAGTATTAATCAAACCTGGGAGCTGGCCGTGAGACAGACACATCGCTGATGACACAGAGCGCTGTGATCACTCCTCTGAAACAGCTTATTGACGCATAAATTAACTTAAAATGCAAAAATCTGCCGGCAGAATATGTTCGCTTTTATTATCCTGGTGCCTGCAGTTTGGATTATTTAGATGAAAAACACCTACCAGCTGCCGCAGTGAACCGCAAGGAGGAGACCCGGCCAGAGGCTGCCGCCGGTATGTGGAGGTCTGAGCGCCTCCGACTGAACAAATATTAGAAGGCAGGATCGTAATCTGGATGAACTGACTGCAATGATTACGTTTTCAGGTGGACTTTCTCACTTAACATATTAAAACTACTTTATTTCCCACTGATCACAACAAATATAGCTCTAAGGCAAAGAAAGGCTAGAGTAGCTCCGCCCAACGTGCGTCAGACACACTTTTGCACCGCGCAGCCAGAGCAGCAAAGCTGCTTCAGCCGCATGTCAGAACTAACTAGTACAAGCAGCAAAAATGAAGCAGCAGACGCGTGAACGTAGCATTACTTTGAACGGCCAGTTCACACCGATGTCGAGCGGTTGAAGTTCCTGCACCTGCTGCTCAAAACGCGCTGCGGGACCTTTTGCTGCACCTATACGCACGTCAACCATTTACTTTGCATGTAAACTCGCTGCTTCTGCTGCACCTGCTGGGTCCGGTTCACATCGATGTCGAGCGGTTGAACAGCGAGCACAGCGTTCATTTGTTTCACCATGCTTTTCACATCGGCTGTGAGATGGGCACGCATGGAGTCACAGATTAACAGCGATGGTGATGCGTGAAAAAAACCACCTGGTCTCCTTACATACAGCTCCCTCCGCAGCTCTTTTATCATCTCCTCAATGAGGAGATGAGTTCTGCATAAAGTGCATACCTGTTCTTTTATTCACAATCCACGCCCACACTTCCCCCTTTAACGTTCTCATGGTGGTCTCAACAACGTCCGCAGAAACACACATAGGGCGCACCGCACATTTTGAGGGAAAAAAAGACGTTTATATGCAGCTTATAGTCGTGAAAATACGGTAAGCTTTGAACAAATTACTATGGTGTTTCTCTTACAACTATCATTTTGCAATCATAGTGGGATTTGTTTAAGGCGAAGAATTCAGTGGAACCATTAAAACACAGGTCCCTGGATTCTCCATTGTTGGTGAGACATCAGGTTGTTCAGATTTTTCTAATTTCTTTTTCTTCCAAGTGAAATAAAGACAAAGTAGAATTATTGGAAGACTGACAGCAACAGCACACAATCCCAAAATGAGCCAAACAGATGGACCTGTTTAAAGAAAAAGATAACATTAGTTTACTGATGACTTTTCTCTAACTTTAGTTTCTTGCATAATATGTTTAGGTTGAGGAGCTCAAAGATTTGTTAAATATTTATTTATACTTGTACTCTAAAAAATGCACCTGAGATTAAGTTAATTACTTGAATTGGTAACAAGTACTTCAATTAAATTTGGCTAACTTCATTTATTTAAGTTTCCAACCTATAAACCTGATAAATTAAGTAGATCAATTGGATTCCATTACTTGTTACCGATTAAAGCAATACATTTAAGTTGGAGCTGCATTTTCCCTTTAGAGTGTCATATTATACCAAAGTTGCGTATTGTTGTCAGGACTAAGAGGTAAAGTCATTGACTGTGTCTCCTTACCCACACTATGATGTTTAACTGTTGGAGGGACAGTTGTTGGTTCAACACACAGGGTGTTATTTTCTTGATACACCCATTTAGCTATTGTTGTCCCATTGATGGTGCAGTTAATGAATATGAAGCCTAGAAACAAACTGGATTATATGTCATGTAGGGATCTTAATCATCAACTATTTTATCATATTTTTCTCCCTCACCACAGTCAGGAATGTTGATCTCGTTGGAGGATGAACTGACTTGATTCCTGACTGAGCAGAAAAGACGCCCTGATATATACGGTTTTAGAACGATGATGTTAGTCTGATTATTTCCAGAGAGGAGTTCAGAGTCTGTCAGTGTTTTTCCATCCAGAGTCCAGCTGTACTGAGGACTGTCCCCTTCAGAGAGACAGGACACCTTGATCTGTCCCTGGGCCAAACATTGATGGACCAGCTGGACAGAAGACACAGGAGCTGAGAGAGAAAAACACATTGATTAGATTAAATGTCTTCTTTACCTTTTGGTAGAAAACTGGAGAAATACAGAATTTAAACTGAACGCTGTTATAAAATGTTTGTATATAGTGTTAGTATAACGATTTCCACAACATTTAAAGGGGTGGAAGCAAAACAAAGAGCAAAAAATGTAAAAAGGTAAAAGATATACAGTGGATTACCTTGAACACAGAGCTGCATAGTTCTAGATCCTTTATCCTTTCCATCTTTACCAAACATTCTAAGTTCATATTCACCGCTGTCACTCATCTTCAGGTCATTGATCCTAAATGATCCATTATTTGAATAAAAGAGAATTCTTCCCTCTTTCCAGCTTTCTGTTGGTTTGTTGGTCAACCCCCTAAATACACTGATATTCTTTGTTAAATCAACACGGCGTAATTGTGAGACGTCGTTCTCCAGTGGAAGCTCCACTGATCCTCCCAAAGCTCCATAAAACTGAGCTCCATCTTGTCGTCCATCACAGGAAGCAGCTGCACCTTAAAGAATAATATTAATCATTAGCATTTAAAAAAAAAGCAAAATAAAACCTTTACAACATGATGGGTTTCTTGTGTCCTCTGTCACCTTTTTAAAATTAGGCTCTGTGTATTTTTCCAACATCACATTTGCTTTGATCTAACTAAAGGAGCGCTCAGCCCATCACTGAAAATTAATACAGATTACTTTATTTCGCATCAGGGTTTTATTGAGAGAACTAAATAATCTTTTTTAACCAAAAATTTAATAATGGAATTTTAGAAAAATCTGTCTTTCAAAATGCATTTTTGCCAAGCCCAAAAATGAAACAGACTCAATATTTCACTTTGAACTAATTGTGTTTACACTGACACATAATAAATACGAAGCATAGAAACAAACAGGATTATATGTCATGTAGGGATCTTAATCGTCAACTATTTTATTGTATTTTTTCTTACTCACCACAGTCAGGAATGTTGATCTTGTTGGAGGATGAACTGACTTTTCTCTAACTTTAGTTTCTTGCATAAAATGTTTAGGTTGAGGAGCTCAAAGATTTGTTAAATATTTATTTATACTTGTACTCTAAAAAATGCACCTAAGATTAAGTTAATTACTTGAATTGGTAACAAGTACTTCAATAAAGTTTGGCTAACTTCATTTATTTAAGTTTCCAACCTATAAACCTAATAAATTAAGTAGATCAATTGGATTCAATTACTTGTTACCGATTAAAGCAATACATTTAAGTTGGAGCTGCGTTTTCCTTTTAGAGCGTCCTATTATACCAAAGTTGCATATTGTTGTCAGGACTAAGAGTTAAAGTCATTGACTGTGTCTCCTTACCCACACTATGATGTTTACCTGCTGGAGGGACAGTTGTTGGTTCAACACACAGGGTGTTATTTTCTTTATACACCCATTTAGCTATTGTTGTCCCATTGATGGTGCAGTTAATGAATATGAAGCCTAGAAACAAACAGGATTATTTGTCATGTAGGATCATAACCATCAACTAGTTTATCATATTTTTCTCACTCACCACAGTCAGGAATGTTGATCTCGTTGGAGGATGAACTGACTTGATTCCTGACTGAGCAGAAAAGATGCCCTGATATATACGGTTTTAGAACGATGATGTTAGTCTGATTATTTCCAGAGAGGAGTTCAGAGTCTGTCAGTGTTTTTCCATCCAGAGTCCAGCTGTACTGAGGACTGTCCCCTTCAGAGAGACAGGACACCTTGATCTGTCCCTGGGACAAACATTGATGGACCAGCTGGACAGAAGACACGGGAGCTGAGAGAGAAAAACACATTGATTAGATTAAAAGTCTTCTTTACCTTTTGGTAGAAAACTGGAAAAATACAGAATTTAATATTAAAGGCTGTTATAAGATGTTTGGATTTAGAATCAGTACAATGATTACCACAACATTTAAAGTAGTGGAAACAAAACAAAGAGTAGAAAATGTAAAACAGTAGAAGATAAGCAGTGAATTACCTTGAACACAGAGCTGCCCAGTTCTAGATCCTGTTTCCTTTCCATTTTTACCAAACATTCTAAGTTTATATTCACCGCTGTCACTCATCTTCAGGTCGTTGATCCTAAATGATCCATTATTTGAATAAAAGACCATTTTTCCATCTATCCAGCTTTCTGTTGGTTTGTTGGTATACCCCTTAAATACACTGTAGTTCTTTGTTAAATCAACATGGCGTAATTGTGAGACGTCTTTCTCCAGTGGAAGCTCCACTGATCCTCCCAAAGCTCCATAATACTGAGCTCCATCTTGTCGGCCATCACAGGAATCAGCTGCACCTTAAAGAATAATATTAATCATTATCTTCAATCAAAATAAATAACATACTTAATCCTTCTTCATGGGCTTCTTTTGTCCACTGTCACTTATATTTGTGTATTTGTCCAACATCACAGTGACCTAAACCATGTAAACATGAAACACAGCTATGATGGAAAAAAAGGAAATAGCTTCTAGAAACAGCACTTTAACTTAAAACAGAAAAAGTTATATAGTTTAGATAGTTATATACAGAATTTGTATTTATTTATAGAATTGTAATTTCAGATTGAGAATCTGTTTTTGTGCCAAGAACTCACAATATTTTAAAAAAAGAAACCTGTAGTAAATTAAAGGTGCTGCTCAGCTCATTACTGCTACATGGAGAGAGAAAAAAATTCACCTTTCTTTATATCTGATTAGGAAAAAAAATAGATACAACGTTTCATTTTAAATAAATGTGATTTCAAGAAAAAATTCTGAATCTTTCTCAAAAATTCTATATACAGTCAATTAATAAAATGGGCAGCATCAAGATTTCAACAACGGAGTTTTACTCCTAGAAATATTTAATGTAATGTTCAATTGATTTGTATAATGCTAAATATTTTAACTTAAACTTTACAAGAAATGGAAGAGGATGAAAAACTTAACAAGAAATTTGACAAACATATTTTTTCAAACAATTTTAGCTGTACTCATTAAATAATAATAAAGAAAGCAAATTAGACTAGCCTGAATGGTCACATGACATTTCAATCCTATTAGAAGTTTGGATTTTCTTTCCTTTTTATTTTTTTTCATATATTTTTCCCTGAAATAATGTTAGTTTACAAAACTGTCAAAGTTTAACAGAAACTAAAAAAAAAAAATCAATATTTTAAAACATATTATTTAAATGGAAAGGAACGAATGTGGTGCTCGGTGAAAATAAAAACCTCACGATGAGAGACTCGGAGCAACATCAGTAAGACTCCAACGACGGCCTTCATCTCTGCTCTCTGATTCCCTCAGCTGCCCTCAGATGCAGGATTATTTTATCCAGAATTTAATATTTGTATTTAGCTCTAAACAGCTTGCAGAGTTTCCTGTTAGTGATCAGAGCAGAACTTTAAAATACGCTGACCGAATAAAGAGCTTTAATTTTCATGTTTTTAACTTCACTGAGAGGAAGAAAGGAAGTGATGTGACTCTAACTTTCCCTTGTAACCAACAGCAGAGTCTTACAGTAGATTGTTTGCTGGACTGAGAGGAAGAAATGGAAAACATTTTTAATCAGGTTAGAAGATAATTGTTATAATATGCTTTTGTAGTGAAGGAGTTGCATTTCTGAAATTAATAAAACACATTTTAAATATCAATTTATGTAATCAAAAATATATAAGGGCACAAAAATATAAAATACATAGCAGCAGTATTTAAAAAAAACAAGCTAAAAGGTTTGATTATTTACAAAGATTACACTTAAACACAAAATGAGGTAAATACAGTATTTTGTAAAAAATTAAGCTTATTTAAAATACTATGATTTTGTAGTTTTCTGCATCAGATAACTAAAATTCTGCTGTATAAAATTGTAAACATAAACAAGGGGGTTAAATGCTGGGGCATCTTTCATAAAAGTGACTTGATTTGGAAGCTAGAGGGTTAATGCAGCTTGCTATCAGAAGATTTTGGAGCACTTCATGCTTCCATCTGCTGAAAAGCTTTATGGAGATGAAGATTTCATTTTTCAGCACGACCTGGCACCTGCTCACAGTGCCAAAACCACTGGTAAATAGTTTACTGACCATGGTATCACTGTGCTCTATTGGCCTGCCGACTTTCCTGACCTGAACCCCATAGAGAATCTGTGGGATATTGTGAAGAGAAAGTTGAGAGAAGCAAGACCCAACACTGTGGATGAGCTAAAGGCCGCTATCGAAGCATCGTGGGCCTCCATAACACCTCAGCAGTGCCATAGGCTGATTGCCTCCATGCCACGTCGCCTTGAAGCAGTCATTTCTGCAAAAGGATCCCGACCAAGTACCGAGTGCATAACTGTAAATAATTATTTGAAGGTTGACTTTTTTGTATTGCGAACACTTTTCTTTTATTGGTCGGATTAAATTTGCTAATGATCTCAGATAGGAATTTTGGGTTTTCATGAGCTGAATGCCAAAATCATCCGTATTAAGACAATAAAAGACCTGAAATTACTTAGTGTGCATGAATCTAAAATATATAAATGTTCAAGTTTCATCATTACATTATTGAAAATAATGAAGTTTATCACAGTATGCTAATATTTTGAGAAGGACCTGTTCTTCAATCATGATGAACCCACACCACTCTGAAAGTAATCCCACATGGACACAGTCTCTGTCATTCACTGGGATAGACTGCCCTCTGCTGGTAAACACCAGTAACTGCTAATAATGAAACCATACAGTGTGTAAAGGCACAACACCAACACAGCATTTTGTACATTAATAATGAAGTTTAGAGTGGATGACTTTGTTTAGTTTACAGGAGAGAAACTCACAGAGTACACAACAGGCTGGTTCTGTTAATGGTTTTCCAGGTCCTGATGGTCCGGAACTGATTTTTCAGGCCCTGATGGTTTGGTATGTGCTGGGTTAGTTTCTGATGGCCCCCAGATTCCTAGTCTGGATGCCAGAGACTTTGTTGCTGTTGGTTCTGATGCTGTTTATACTGGTTCAGTAGTCAGTGAGCATTCACACACTGATGGCATTAACACACAGATTAAACAGAGGAGGCAGGTTGTTCTCTGGAGATTTTTCTAAAAAATAAAAAGAGGAAACCGAATGAAGAGTGTGAGTCTTTTTTGAGTGTCATGTTCCTGCTGCTGATGGTTGGGGTTTCTTCCTTTGATCCTGCTTACCTGTCTAACTGGTCCAGCGGCTGATAAACGCAGATAATTTCCACCTGGTTCCTCTGTTATTTATGTTTTTTTTTTTTTGTTTGCCTTCCATCAGCGGCAGGTTAACTCTGGCGTTCTAAATGTTGTTCTGTTTTCCTGGTTGGAATCTGTTTCTGCCCTGTGGATGCCGGGTTTTGCTTTGCCTCTGCCTGCTCTGTTAGTCTGATCCAGTGGTTCTCAAACTTTTTCTGTCATTCCCCACTTTGGACAAGGGGGAATTTTCAAGCCCCGCCTGTCCCCATCGCCCCAACACAATGCTAATGAAATATGAAACAATCTTAAAATGTTCCAATTTTATTGAAGTAACAAGTAGTATCTAAATACAAACTATCTACATCAAATAACAGCAAGCTCAAAAATAAAGAAAATAAAAACAAAAATAAAGAAAATAAAAATGCAGCTCAAAGATAGAAAAAATTAAAGTGCAACTCTGCAATCTGTTAATAAAAGAAAAGAAGTGAAATCCATCTGGCAAGACAGGTCTATTTATCCCTGCATTAGTGGCTGCAATGAGCCTGTTTTGCATTGCACAGTTTATCAAAACGGGGTTGCAGGCTTGATACTGCCACTCTCAAGTCATGCTTTGTTTTCAGTGAAGCAACAGCTGAAAAGCCCATCTCACAGAGATATGATGTGGCAAAGGGAAGACGAATGCACACAGCCCTCTGCCCGATGAGTGGATACTCCCTCTCCACTCCAAACCAGAATTCACTAAATAAATTCAGTTATTTATGATCAACCTGCACCGTCAATCCCGGCGCATGTGCGCTTTATTTGCAGTCTGGACGCTGAGGGTAAACATGCTGTGACTCTGACTGCAGCGCTGAGAGGGACTCCTGTGATAGCGGGGGAGAACGGGGTTGGGATTGGATAGGCGCCCCACAGCAGCACCTGCCGCTGGAGGACAAGAAAAGGAACGATATGTGCTTTCACGTAAGAGCCTCCAAAAGTCGCTAGATTTGTCGCTAGTCGTTTTTTTGAAAAAGAGTCGCTGAAGGGGTCTGAAATATAGCGACAAAGTCGCTGAGTTGGCAACACCGGGGCGCGAAAGTTTATTCCGTTACAAATAATATGCCGTTGTGACAGATCAACTGGGGAGGAGATCAACTGGTTAGAATCTATGCGCACCGCAGATGTTACTGAAGCTAAGGTGGCTGTGTTGATGCCTGGCGAAAAAATATTCCTAACGTAACAAAACTGTTCGCCCAAAAAAATCAACCGACATATCTAATGAATTAATTTCTGTTTTGTTTTGTTTTTTCAGATTAGAACGATGTGGTAAAGAACTTGTATACTCAGCAAAGCAGATAGTGCAAAGAATCCCACACAGAGAACAGCGTCGCTCACAATTAAGAAAAAATACAAATTAAAGTCTGTCTCACACTGGAGTGTAATTTCTCCTGTTGAACGATAAGCTATAAATGAAAACCTGTAGCTTGGAAAATAAAGTCTGCCCACTTTATAAATTCCTGAATGTAAAAATAAATCCTTTAATGAGGCCTGTCATTCCGAATGCACGTGTGTAAGCAGCACATTTTCAAGAAAAACTGACTGCAAACGGAACAACTGGGCTTCTCATCCTTCCAACTATTCCCACTTTATTTTTTGAATATTGACAAAAAGTAATTTTCTTAGATTCAATGCTCTCATATTTCCTTTATTCTCCTGTCTGGACACAAATACAAGTCTCTACTGCGGTGTTGTTTTTTTTAGTGGATCCCTAAACTTTGTTCCGTATGATGAACTGTATCAGGTCAAACACCTTTATTTTTATTGCTATTGTGTTCAGTCTGTTCATAACATCCAGTTATGAGACCATAGCGGGCTGCTGCTGAGCTGATTTTACTGCCCCATATGTAAAAGGGGGTAAAATGTATTTACTTAGGCGCATTGCAGCTAATAGAATCTGAATCACATACCTGTTGATGCGGAAACTTTACTTTTTCTGTTTTCACAGTAGAATTTAAATCCCAGAGTTAGCAGCTACCACTATGGTGTGGGTATGAGTCGCCATGACTGCTTTATGTTTTATCTAGTAGAAAAATGCAGATTTTCTTAAACGAAGAGCTAGATTAATTTGTGACGGGGTCCACAGCACAGCTGTTTGGAGAGATTAGTTAGCTGCGTGGTTGCCAGATCAAAATGCCGCAAATGTAAACAAACGGGTCAGAATAAAGGTTTTAATTGATCCTGGCCTAATATCTATCCAACACACGTCTGTAGTCTGTGGATAATGTGAAATATTATGAGTAATTTAAGTTTGGGGATCAAATAAACGCATCGTGAGGATCTGAAAGCGTCAGAATCTGCAGTGTGTCACAGATTAACTTGTGATCCAGCGGGATCTGGAGGAATATGGGCTGTAAAACACTCCATCTCCTGGGATGTTTGGATGTTATTAACTTATCCTCAATTAGGGTTGTAGCAGGCTACTTTAAATTTTTAACTGTTATTGTTGATTATTTTTCTTACCGCAATTACGAACCTGTCATGATGTGTGACCATGTTCATGCTGTCAGCTGTCATCTTATTCCCTTCTGTTGTTTTGAGGACGCCACATTCTTTGGTTTGCATGCAGAACAACTTTAAATCATTCACGTTTTTCAAGTTACTGGCAATAGAGTATTGTTTTGTCTACTTTTTACTATTAGTCTAAATTGTTTGCTTCACTGGTACAATTAGAAGGACAAAAAGCAACTCAGCACAAAACGTTGATTGCGAGGAAATGTTTGTCATTTCAGAGTTAGGAGATAATATTATTTTGCCCATCTGTGGAAAATCTGTTAAAATAAAATGAGGGATTAAGAGTTCGCGTGGGATCGAACCCGCGCGGCCGAAACTGTCTAAATTTCCAGGGCGTCTGGTTACCCGCTGAGCTATTGATAGGAACACTACATATGACCCCACCTGTGATAATGAACCTGTTGCGTGTGTCTGCTCTGCCTGTTGAAGAGCTGGTCTTAGATCAACTGGTGACAGTTAATGTTTCAGAGTCCGCTGTTCGCTTAAAACATGTTTGAATTCCAGAATATCAGATATTATTACTATTTTTTCCTTCTTTACTCTTAGAACAGAATGGGGCCTCCCCGTTAAGAGATAGTTAGACAGTAGGTTATGCTATGCTATTAAAAGAAAAAATAATAACCAGATCTTTTTTTTTTCCGATCAGATATCTACCGTAAAATCTCCCTGTTTTATTTCTTCATTGTTTGGCAGCAGTTAGCCTGGAGGCTGTGCTGCTTCTTTTAATGCTTTAGTACAGTAGGTTCTGCATTTGTTCGCCCCGATGCCCAAAATATCACATATATTCACACAATATATAAAATGAATTCAGAGATTTCACTCTTCCCTGCAGCAGTTATGTTATTTTGCTTTGTTCCTGCAGCACATCTTCAACTTTAAAGACATTTATAACTCCTCTGGGAACGAGTTGGGCTGTAAGTAATTAGTCTCCCTCCATATAAACAGTCGGCGCTTTTCAGAAAAAAAGAGGAAATTTTTATTTTCGTTCGTTTTAATTTACAAGACATACAGGACGACAAAAACATGGAAGAATTACACCGTTAGTTGTTCCATTGACCTTTTATTGCACTGACTGTTTTTACTTCTCATACAGCTTTCTGTGGTTTTTCTACTCGGTTCTTTCTCTCATCGCTGAGGCTCTGAAACAAACAGATAAACAACAGCAGGACAAGTTCCTCAAATCTCTGTGTGCGGGTTCAGAGAAAACCCTAAAACATGCTATATGCTTTCTTAATGCAATTAAATACCTTTGTGATGGTGACTTCTTAAAATCTCAACGTATTTCGTATCGATCAGATAACAAAATAATTTGTAGTTCTTGGAGTCTACACGCAGTTTACTTCCTGTTTGAGGCGAGGGGTCCTGAATAGCCCCGCCCACAGACACATCTGCAAAAATCAGCGGTTTTCCAGCTGCCGTCACCAGTTGATCTCCTCCCCAGTTGATCTGTCACACCGTCACGTCAATCATTATTTTGGCACTTCAGTTCCAGGTGAAATTTTTCTCATATCTAATGTTCTTTTAATTAGACTGCATGTAGGCTAGTAATGGTTACTTTGTGGGTTTGATTGGTCTAAACAGCGGCAACATACAGCTATAAGGACAGTTTGCTCTCACATGTTCTACATTTATAGTCACACAAAACACACACACACACCGGAACTTGGCGCGCCCCACCTGTCACGTCTCAATTCCCCACCAGTGGGTCGCGCCACACACTTTGAGAACCGCGGGTCTGATCTGTTCTGAAATGATTCCTGGATTTATCTTCTGAACCTGGACCTGTCTTTAAATATGGATTTCCCCTTAAATCGGGCAAGTGGTCGTTTTTGGTAACTTGCGTTCCACTAACAAATGAATAACTCCTGCTCTCCTGTTAATTCTATGGTTTATATCCATCCAATCAGCAAAGATCTAACTACGTGGTCGTGCTCATCCTTTTGGCATTTGACCAATCAGATGAGATCTTGGATGCAGCAAACTTCCTTATTCTGGAGAAGCAGGTCTTGGCTTGGAAACCGTCCAAATTTACGGTGATAAATAAACAAACCATTGTCAGTCACTGCAACTCACACATTTCAGAGTCTAATTGTTGTGTAAAGTGATGACATGTTTGTTATATGCTGAGGAATGGAAGAAATTAGTGAAATTACAGCATTGAAATTGTAGGCGCCCTCTTACGCCCTCTTGTGGTAAACACAGGAGTTGATATGTCATTACTCCTTTTGGACATATACCTTATGCAAGTACTTACTGCATCTTCTTAAAAAATGAAGCAGTGGCACTTAACATATAATAATAGAATGTTGCCAATAGTGTGTATAATACATTAAATTATTCAATTAGAAGTCCAGAATATTGGGGGATTTTGGAGGGATATTTTTATTTTCCAATCGTAGTTGTTTTATCAGTTATTATAATAAATAAGTGTGATTTCAGTCAGTTGTATGAATTTATAACAGTTTTTTAAAAATATTTTATGTATTATTGAAGTGAAAAGTGGCAATTATTTTTTTAGTTTAATATCCTAAAAAAAGACTATGTTGTTGCAGTGAATATGGTTAATCTTTGTCAGTTTTATGACCTAATAACAGTTGTTTGATTTTGACAATCTCCTCCACCATAACGTCTGCCATCTTTGCAGACAACTTCTTCACCAGTCTCGAGCTTGTGAGGTACTTCCGAGACTAGAACTACAGGTACTGTTGACTGTACTATACGCACTGTATGCTAATAAAGAAAGCTTCTCTTTTCTTTCCTTCTCTAGGTACACGGGGACAACAGGATTCAAAACCCTCCAATCAAGTCATCCAAGGAGATGAAGAAAAATGTGCCTCGTGGTACATATGACTATGTCGGCAGTGACGGTGGAATCTTGGTCGTCAGATGGAAGGACAACAAAACGGTGACTCTGCTGTCAACAGACATAGGGGTGGAGCCTAAATCCTCAGTCATGAGGTACTGCCATGAGACAGAGAGGAAGGAGTCTGTGAGCTGTCCAGCTGTCATTAAGAGTTACAATGCCAACATGGGGGGCATTGATAAGAATATGTTGTTCTACCTTTACCGTACCCCCATGAAGTCCAAGAGGTGGTACCTGCCATACACCATTGATCTTAGCCTCTCAAATGCCTGTATTGTCTACAAGCGGGACTGCAAGGCCCTTGATATGAATGCCATGTCTCTGAAAGATTTAAGAATCAACATGTTCATGAGTGCCATTAGCCTAAGGTCAATATATCCCGGAGAAGCTCATCATGTTCTTCTGACCACCAATTACTATATTCCCCCTCCAGTCCGAGTACACCACAGCAACACCCAAATTATGCAGTGTGATCTGATCTGTCCCTCTTCCATGTCCCTGTCCATGCCAAACGCCAGACCTGCAAGTTTTGCAGCAAACAAGGAAACATCGTGAGGTCAAATGTGGTCTGCAAGGTCCACCTCTGTCTGAAAGCTGTGCGTAACTGCTTCAAAGACTACCACTAGTAATCTAATGTTTCCTGCTGTCGCGGGATATGTTATCTGGTATACATTAAGTTAAAAGAATTATTAAGTTATTAAGTTAAAAAGTTTATAATTTAAATAAAAACCCTAATAAGCCAAGTGGAAATACTGAAAAGTACACACATTTTAGTGCACATGTTAAAACTAATGTTCGGGGTTGTATATTGCTGCAAAATATGTATTTATTTCACTCCGGTTTGCATGATTTTTCTTATAGAAGAACAATTTGTAATATCTTTTTACCATATCATGGCAAGTGACTGTTTTTGGTAATGTTTGGCATGAAAATTATTATTATTATTATTATTTTTTTATTGCTATAGAAGTAATATCTTGTTCTGTCCTCCTACAACTCTCTTGGCTTAAAACCTTTAATTTCAAAGTATTTCAATGAGTGCCCTATATAGGGTTAAGGACACTGTTGCTGCTCGGTATCGGCTGGCGCCTTCTCTGCTCTCTGTCTCTAGGAACTCTTGTGGGGCGTCGCCCACCACAAACTGGAGATTTACCTCCTGTTTGGATTCAACACTTTCCTTCTGGATCGGACTGAACTTTACATCAGGTCAATGACTTTTGCTCCAAGTCGTGATCAGCCCGACAAACCAGTCACTGACCTGTATTTCCTATTTCTGCAGAGATTCGCCCCACAGCTCTTGTTTTGTTTAATAAATGCTTTGAACTTTCCCACTGCCTGTCTTGCCTTTAATTCTGGGTCCAACGTTCTGAGTTCATTACTGTTTCAGCAGTTAGGTGACAGTGAAGGTAATGAGGAGAGTGATGTGGATTATCTGGCCTCTGTACAGACTCACAAGAAGAGTGGATACTAGTTAAAAAGTATTAGGAGTTTTCTCCTCTGAGAACCAAGGGAGTCTAAAATGTTAAGTGGAGAAAGTGTTTGCAGCTTAAAATTACAGATCATCATGACCTACAACACAACAGACTTAGTTGAAAAAGCTCCCTTTGAAAGAGCTTGGTGACTATTTAGCCATGTGGCAAAAACTCAAAGTAGCTGCCAGAAGAAAAAGTGGTAAAAAAAAAAAAAGCTAGGATCAAGTTGACCCTTTATGGGTATTTGTCTCTAATAAATTAATTTATTAAATGCTGTCTTTTTGAACCCTTACTGCCACATATGTTTTTTGAGGATGGAATTTTTCATATTGACAAAATTTACAGTTTTTCTGAATTCTGTTTATGACCAAACATTTAACTTAAGTTGGCTTTGGGCCATACGTTTCTAAAGTCAAACATATCATACTTGCCCCTAAACAGGATTTCATTAGAGCTAATTAGAAAACCTAGATTAAGAAGCTTTTATAATGGCGATAAAATTAAAGAAAGTTCTAGTATTAAAGTATGAGATGGGTACATATCCAATTTCAGGTATTGGGATAACATCAGAAAAAATGAGTCTACACATCTTTAAGAATTTTTTTATGGTTACTTTTAGTGAACTAAACATTGTTTTTCTTTGAAAAGTACACATAGGGAAGTTGTTTTTTCTGACATGACATTGCAGCAGAAAAAAGTCAAAGAAACATATTTGTTTTCACCCAGGACTGTTTCATAGAAGTCCAAATTTATTTATTTTTTCTTAAGTCCCCCTCTTGGAGTTTCACTTAAGAGTGGAAACACTGTATAATTCTGTGTGGTTTAAAAATACAACAACAAGAGACCACGTTTTAAAGATATTTACACTAAGATATACTTTCAGATGAACATTAAACTGCACATACAAAATATAAAATGAACACGGGTAGGTACATCAGCAGTGTGTATTATAATGAAAATGCCAACGCACAAACGCCACCTAAACAGACAAAATATTATACATTATGTATTAAAAGCCACTTAACCAAGGAAATGTTTCAAAATATCTTGAAAATTTAGCTTTTTTTAATTGCACTTCCAAAATCTATTGTCACATAAATGTAAGTTTTCATTGCTCAAAACTTTTCATTTCGATCATGAGAGCAGAGCTCTCTGGATCCTCAGTTATTTGTGAGAACGCTGATTCTTTGGCTTTTTCAATTTTCTTCCTCCTCCAAGTGAAATATTGCGATACACCAATTACTGGTAGAATTACAACAGTGGCGCGCAGTCCTAAAACGAGCAAAGTGGACAGACCTGTTTGAAGACACAAAATAACACCTTAACTGGTTTGGAGAGTGAAAGTTTTACAGACTTGTAAAGGGCAAACATGACATTTTAGGGTTAGAAGACCTAAAAAAAAAAAATATATATATATATATATATATATTTGTTTCAGATAAAGAAAAGCCTCATTACAATTTTATTTTGTATGATGACAGTCTATAAGGCTTAAATATTCACTTTCTGGTGGACTTTTGCTGAAGCAGCTACATTTTAGCAAAAACATACCCAATGGATATATTGGTAATAATTACAGAAAGAGATCAAAGCATTCATACTGTATCGAGCCAACTCTAAAACAAGCGCTTGTGAGATTTTTATATAAGTAAAGCAAATCTCTTCTTCACTAATTTCTTATATTGATTTAAATCTAGATTGATACAGAGCGATAAATATTGACCATCTGGTTGTCTTATTGTATATTATGATTTTACTCACCACAGCCAGATATGTTTATCTGATTGAAGGAACTGCTAATCTGATTTTTGACAAAGCAGGCCAAATTTCCTGAGATGTTTCCTCCCAGAATAATGATGTTACTCTCATTATTTCTTGAGAAAATTTCTGAGTCTGTCAGCGGATATCCATCCAGCATCCAGCTGTACTGGGGACTGTCCCCTTCACAGAGACAGGACACATTCCTCTGTCCTTGGGACAAACACTTCAAGACCAGCTGGACAGATGACACAGGAGCTGAGAGAAAGACCCAAGAAAGATTAGAAGATTATTCAAATATCAAAACAGGATTCAAGCTATTTTTGCATATCTGGTGAAAAGATTTTGAAAAGTGCAAACTACACAAGCTGTGACATATTGGAAATAGAAGAGGTAAGCCTAGGTTTTGAGGTTTTAATGTGTAAACAAAAACCCCCCTCAAAAACCAGTACATTACCTTGAACATAGAACTGAAGGGTTCTCTGTCCTATTTGTCTTCCACCTTTATCAAACATTTCAAGTTTATATTGACCACTGTCCGTCCTGCTCAGGTTCTTAATCCTAACTGTTCCATTGTTAGGAAAAAAGAGAACTTTGCTCTCTTTCGCACGAAATAAAATGTTGTTATTTATCCACCTGAGTATTACTGACTGGTCCTTTGTCCAATGGAATCTGGGGATTGTAGAGACATTTTCCACCAGTTGAATGTCCACTTTACTTCCAAAAGCTTCATAACACTGTGCTCCATCCTGTCTCCCATCACAGATCATTTTCACACCTAAAATTGACATTTATCACAATACTGAGAACAGCAATAACAAAATGTTACATTCATCTTAAACAAGTCATCACTCTGTACAGTTTCAGCAAGCATTTACCATCAAACAGTTGACCTTGAAACTGAGCTATGATGGGAAAAACAGCTGGAACCTTGTCGGAGACAAACGGCGGGGGACGTCGGAAAATAATGGAGGATCATACTTACTGTATATGAGGCTCTAAATCTGTTGACTCACTTCCAGTGTTGGGAAAGTTCTCTTTCTACGTGAACTAGTTCAAAGTTCAGTTCACACATTTTAAAATGAACTAGTTCAGTTCATAGTTCATAATTCAAAACCAAAAAATGAACTAGTTCATAGTTATTTTTTTTTTTTTTCATATATTGCTCAATTACACCATAGCCTACTGTAGAACCACAGACAGCAATTATTTTATCAGTTGTAACTCTGAAACTGCGTCAGATTTCATCTTCATATCCAGTTTTGAATCCTTATCCAACCAGGGTTTACATTAGCATTGAGGGGACAGATTTCCCCATTGTTGCTTTAACGCTTTGTTGCTGTCCATTCACTTCACATTGGTAGCAGCTGCAGCTTTCACCCCTACAGTATATTCTCAAAAACATCAGGAAAAATGTGCTGCTTGAATGGTCTTTTTTATGAGTAATTATTAAAAGAAAAATGTGCAAATGTTTTTTTTTTTATTTTAATAATTTTTTCCATTTGAAATTCCATTTCAATACATACTAAAAAGGAATACTGGAATCCTGGAAAATTTTACCAGGCAGGTTTAACAAACAAGTTACATGGATAGTAAAACCCTCAAGAACAGGGGTCTTCTATGTTTTCCAGACCAAGGACCCCCAAACTGATGGCGAGATGGAGCGGGGACCCCCTAACTATATATATTGTATGAAATTGTGTCCTATAGTCACTCTATTACAGATGGAGTAATGTAAAGAAATTAATTTCTCCCTGGGATTATTAAAGTTTTTCTGATTCTGATTCCTGGTTGTTGTGAAGGAAACGGTGCCCAGCTTGAAAGAGCTCCTGTGTGTCGCTGAATGTGTGCATTGATGACTGAAAGACATCTTTTGTCTCCATTTATCTGTTTACTACAGTGTGTTGATTTCATGTTAATGAGTATTTAAAGACATTTCAATTAGTGGGGGGAAAAATTGCAGGGGGGGAATATAAAAATATCAACTAACCATGCAGACCCTCATGCAGTACCTCCGTAGACCCCCTAGGGGTCGCGGATCCCCTGTTGAAGACCTCCGCTCAAGAAGATTTTACTAACACAAACTGAGGGACCAGGCTGAGGTAGGAATTTAAGGTTACTGAAGTGCGGATTTTTTTACTGAAAGCCGGCGGGCAAACTTGTTGCCATCATCCTCACCGACCACCTGGTCATAAAACTGTTTTAAGTGATCATACTGCTGCTTTGTCGCCTCCACGCTGCTGTGGCTTTCACGCGGCATTTTGTTTAGATGACGCATGCGGCTGTAGGCTACGACACTGGTAGCTGGTGTTGCCAGATTGGGTGTTTTTCCCGCTACATATTAAGGCCTGTTTACGGTTTGATTTAGCCGGGGTTTCGCCTGGAGGACTCTATAGAAATCTGGCAACCTATTGAACGGAGCTGAACTGAGAGAGCGTGCCGTTCACAGACACCAGAATGAACGAGTTCACAATAACGTTCATCAGGCAAGAATGCAGTACGTTCAGTTCACGTTCGCCCAAAATATGAACGAGTTCATGAACTTTCGTTCAATGAACGCGTTCAGGCACAACACTGCTCACTTCACCCTGTGATGCAGGTTCTAAGACAGCCATTTCTAGCATCTCGCAACCAAAGATAACCCTAATTATATATCTAGGTCTGATATTTAAGATTCAACATTTCTTTATTTGTCACCCAGTCTAAAGTGGCACTCCAGTTGGGCAAAATTTCAGTTTCGGTACAGCCAAGAAAAGACTAAACACACAGACATTATACAGACATGGGTGGCCAAGGCCTTGCTGCCATAAAAAGGTGAAAGACTATCTAACAGTGTGACAGATGCTCTGATCAACCAATAGGAATGCAACTGCTAGTGCATATGCACTTCTTAAAATTTTATAGAGAAGATGAAAGCAAGATGTTATGTTTCTAGGATTTTTATAGAAGAGAAGCATGAGTTAGCCAGAATGTCAGATATCAGTAAAAAAAAAAAAAAAAGAGTAGTAGCCCTCCATGTATAATGTAAATATAAGGATGTATAAGATGAGTATTATTTTTTTTAGTATGAGAATCATCTAACATACTGAGCTGCAACAAGGGTTAGGGTGGATGGATGAGGGGCAGAAGAGACTACAGGTTCCAAGTGGTGCTGCCGTACAAATAAAGTGGCAAGTAATATGTTTTTAATTTCTGAAATGATTCATGTCACAGAGAGCCTGTCCTGTCTGCTACTATCATACAAACTTGTGTCATTATAGCAAAAAGCATGACAACGTAGAGCATCGGCCAGAGCTGCAAAAGAAAACCATCTTCATCAGCTGGTTCCTTTGCAGATTGCAGACCAATAATAAACCGGTGAAAGTCTTGATCGTATTCCCCTCATTGGGGCAGTGTTATGGTTCTTCCCTTTTGGACGTTTTGAGTTCCTTTTTGAGTTTTAAGTTTTTTTTTTTTTGTCATTCTTTTTTGTTGGTCATTGGTTTCTTTTCTATTTTGTGTTATATTTAAGCTGTGTTGCATTTTTTGAGTTACTCTCTGTTGCCCCCTAGTGCCAGTCTCTTTTTTCCTTAGCTCATTCTAGTTGCTTCTGTCTACACCTACTCCCTATCAGATAATCAGTCCTCTCATTATTTATCCCATATGTACACCTCCTGATCAGTTACTGGTTGCTGGTTTCTCATTGTTAACTTGGCTCCTGATGTGTTTTCCCCCTGTTGTCTCTTGGTTTTTTGGTTTTCTGCATTCTGTTCTTGGATTATTTTCCTGTTTATCATTAAATAGGTAAATACTCATCTGTGCCTCCTCATCTCTGCATGTGGGTCCTAAACCAGCCTCCACCCTACGCTGACAGGCTGCCTTTACCTAAATTAATCATTTTGGCTTGCAACTTGGATTGCATTTGCTAGTATATACTGATAAAGTTGCTTATTGTCATTCATCATAGGCTATTTTATAGTGAATGGTGAATGCACAACATGCACCCATTAGACTTGACATTGTACAAAATATTATTAAACCCACATCACCGTGCCAGGGAATACTGTTATAAAACTGCAAAAATGATACAGTGTTGGGACCTTAACAGTCTGAATGAGAACAAAGCACAGAAAGGTCCAGAATCAGACCTTCTAACTGTGATATGACAGTCTAAGGACTGTGAATCCAGTGATGGTCCAGTATCCTTAAAATATTACAGTACTTGATATGTTTTTAAACTAAGAATCACATAACAAAAAAGTCTCTCTTGTGATAGGTGTGTGGAAAATCTATTTATTCCTCAACATATATTACCTTTACTAAAGTCCTTCCTTTTAATAATACAGTCATTCAGTTATGTTCTATATAAAGTGAAACTGCAACGCTTTGGTCTGAGAGCAACTTATTTTGGTGCGGTGTCGAAATACCAATGAGACCTTTTTCACCTTCCACCCGCACAATTTGCACATATCCAGCTGTAGCTTCTGCATTGAGCTTGGAATAATTTTTCTCTATGACAATTAATAATGCAGAAATCCAAGATGTTGTGTAACAATAGCACAGCTGTGACTTTATGAAAAAAAAACAAATAAACAAACAAACACGTAAAAGGGAATTGAGGAAACTATGAATTGAAAAAAAAAAAGACCCCTGTGAATTTACAAACATGGACGGAATTTTTAGAGCCCCTTATTTTATAAAAGGAAAATCCACAATGGTCACAGAAATAACCTGAATCTGAATAATAAAGTCAAACCTTGCTTTTCCACCTTGTTTTTGAATAATAAACAAATGAAACTGGCCGGGTCAAAATAACTTAATATTTTGTTGCACAGCATTTTGAGGTAATCGCTGTAATCAAACAACTGATGTAACTGTCAACTGGACTTCTGCTCCTCTCAGCAGGTAATGTGATCTACTACTCATGAAAAAACTATTCCAGCTGTCTGAGTTTTGAAGAGTGCCTTAATCAGATGTTATTTTTGGCTCTGAAATGTTCAATAGGATCATGGAAAGTCACTTCAGAAAAGTCCAGTGTTTTCCTCTTAGCCATTCATGGGTGTTTTTTACCTCTGTCTTTTGGGTCATTATCCTTTTGCAAGACATATGTAAACAAATGTAAGTCCCTTTATTGCCCCACAATGGAGACATCCATTCTCTGTACAGTATTTTGACCCATTCCCTTGGGGAGCAGTGGGCTGCCATTGTGTTGCGCCCAGGGAGCAGTGTAGGGGCCATGGTTTTGCTCAGATACCCAAGGTGGAGGCTGTGGGGATCAAACCGGGTACTTGCAACCTTCTCACTGCTCTAACCACTGGCCAACACTCCCCCCATGCAAACAACATGCAAATAAGAGTGGGCACCATATCTCATCCTAGAATCCCTAAATAATGTTAAGATTTCATTGTACCATGCAGATTTAAGATGTCCATAGGACATTTTCTCCCAGAAGCTTTGTGGTTGTTGACATAGTTTGGCAAATTATCGTCTATCCTTTTTATGATTTGTGTTTTAAAAAATAAGTCTACAAACACTCAGCTAAGGAAGCTCTAGTGATGGATGTTTGTTTTTGAGTTAGGAGTATGGTTGATGACTTCATACCCGCCAACGTACATTTACCCCTCCTTGCTTATCGTGCTTTTTGGCACCCTGTAATTATGGTTGATTTTTGCCAATGACCTGCTGTCACAACACTGGAAAAACAATCTATGAATAAATAAAAATTTCTTAAATAAAGTGTATTTACCCTTAATTTGAGTAGGTAAATGAAATGATTTGCCAATGGAATGAGTATTTTTACTCGTAGAATAAGATATTTAGATAAAATGCACTTGAAATAAGACAATATAATTGCGTTTTCTTATTTTAAATGTAAATTGTCTTGTTCCATGGGCAAAATGTCTCTTTAACCTTCTCAATTCAAGAAAAAATGCACTTATTTTAAGAAGAAATAACTTATATAGATTTAGATTTTTTCCAGTGAATGTTTTAGCAGATCAATAGAGCCCAGCTTATAGGTCATGAAATTAAAAACACTCAGAGTAGCTTCAGGCTCTGATGGACTTGCTTGCCAGACTCAGGTCTGCTGCTTTACATAATTTCCACAACCAGTGTTTTGTCAGGTAGGAGGGATAATCAGAACCCCAACGGCCAAACTGCCTCTTCTCTCCTTACTATGGCTCAGGTCATACGGTAAATCGGCTCACAAGCATAAGCAATGTGATTTAGATGATTGAGTGTCACTTCAGCTTTGTCTTCCATCATATTAAATTTTATCAATATATTAAACTGCTAGCTAAACCATTAACCAATCTCATGACATGACCGCTTAAAGTAGTGCAAAATTGATGTAAAACACAATCTTGTGAATTAAGTTAGTTTGGTTATCCCTTTCATTTCTACTTTCCCTTTCTTGCCTATATATTTTTTTTCTGATCTCAATAGACAAGTCTTTCTTTTGCATCCTCTGGTCCATGCTAAAGGTATTGTGGAGGATGTTAACAAATTTTTTGCACGAGCCCATTTCTCCTCGTGCACACTTTGTTTAAAAGTTGCTTATCTCATAGCTAATACAGGCTTACTGTGCCCGAACGTCCGCTCTAACCCCTGAATCCCTCAATCACTATATAGAGTGCTTTTTGCTGCATTGGTCACATAACTTGTCCTTCACTGCGCAGTGCCTGCAACATCTTTGTTATTGGTTGCCACAGTGGGCCACTGGGAATGCAAATCCCATAGTGCTTTGCAAGGCAATATGGGCTATATCTGCCTCCTCTGAGGCCTTTTTTTCTTTTTTTACACTTCGTAGACAATTTTTCTCTAACGACCCACAGCCAATTTCAAAGCACCCTGGTGAGAAAGTTGAGCTGTCTGAAACCGTAGCTCACCACAGATATGCGCCTGAAAGTGTGCATGCGCAGAAAAAGATAGCTAACAGGACGAGCATGTAGGGCGGCCTTACGTAAAACATATCACCAGAATGATTAACAATTAGGAGGACCACTTATCTAGATGATCCACCCGTAAATAAAAGATTGTCCTCTTTACCTTAAAGTGTGGTACACACCATGTCTGTAACAGCACAGTGACGACGTCTAGCCCTATATATGGGCCCCCTGACTGATTACAACATTGTAGAAACCTATATTGCTAATTAGTAGAAATGCATATCGCTTTGGTCACACTGTTTTAATTCTTTTCTGGGGGTACCAGGATTTTTATCCAAACCTGTTTTATGCCAGATTCAATATACTTCTTTGACTATTGTGTTTTTAGTTATTTTTTTAAATCAAATGAGGGACTCCAACAATTTTGTCCATGTGTGTATAAAGCAACCGGAGAGACTAAATATAACTTATCTTAAATCCTTGAGACTCCAAGTATGCAACAAAATGTAATTAAGGGCTAAAAATGTTTGCAATTAAATTTCATGTTCCATGTACAAAACATGTTTTTGTTACCCAAGTTAAGCTCTTACTACAGTAACGCATCCACTTAGATGTGTGAAGTTCATAAGCAAAGTCATTTTGTATAATGTTCTCACTTACCACAGCCAGAGAGGTTTATCTGTTTGAAGGAATGACTGATCTGATTTCTGACTGAGCAGGCCAGAATTCCTGAGATATTTTGTCTTAGAATAATTATGTTATTCTCGTTATTTCCAGAGAGGAGCTCAGAATCTGGGAGTGTGTGTCCATCCAGTGTCCAGCTGTAATGAGGACTGTCCCCTTCAGACAGACAGGAGACCTTCATTTTTCCCTGGAACCAACACTCAGGGACCAGCTGGGCAGAAATGACAGGAGCTGAGAGAAATAAAACCCACAAAGAATAGTCAAATATTAAATCCAAGCATAGGCTATTTTTGACCACTTGGTGGACATTTGGAAAGTTATTGAATACACATATAGCTTATTTTATGTACAGTAGATGTTTAAATGAGTGACCTTTGACAGTTTATTTTATAAGAAGGAAAGATAAAGAACTTAGAAAATAAAAGTTGATTACCCTGAACAAACAGCTGCAGCGTTCTAAATCCTGTTTCCTTCCCATATTTATCAAACATGTCAAGTTTATATTGACCACTATCAGTCCTACCCAGGACATGAATCCTAAGTGTTCCGTTCCGGGGAAAAAAGAAAAATCTGCTCTTTTCTATGCTAAATATAATGTTGTTGTTTCTCCATATGAGTATCACTGAGTTGTTCTTTTTCAACTGGAATCCGGGAATATTTGAGGGGCTGTCCACCAATGTGAGGTCCACCTTACTTCCCAGAGCTCCAAAACACTGAGCTCCATCCTTTCTCCCATCACAGGAAGGTTTCACACCTTAAATGACAATAATAATAATACCAGTTATGATTATTATTCAAATAACAAAAAATATCTTGTATTTGTTTCAAGAAGTTGTCAGCATGCATTTACTGTCAAACAGTTGAGGTTAAAACTGATAATGGGTTACACAGCTAGGATCTTAAAACAGCAGATAACTGTTTAGCTTATTTATTCAAGACAGAAAGGACAGATATACTGTAGTTGAAGGGGTAATGTGATGCTTATCTTAGTAAAGGTTTGTGAACACCTCATGTCACCAGTTCTTACATGACCACAACAGAAACACACAAGGAAACATTTACTAGTATCTGTCATTATAAAAAAAAGTTTAATAGTAAATTTTATGAAATCTTTCATATATATAATTCAGTGGTTATTTAAAATAGTGGACGATAGGGAAAATTCAAGATATTCCTCACATACAGACTACCATTTACACAGTGTCACACCCACTAAGATGCATCACATGAAAAATATCAAAAGGTTTTATCACATTCTCACTCACCACAGTTAAATAAGCTCATCTGCTTGAAGGATTGACTGATCTGATTTCTGACTAAACAGGCCAGAAGTCCTGAGATGGTACTTCTAAGAATAATGATATTATTCACATTATTTCTAGAGAAGATTTCAGAGTCTGTCAGTGTGTGTCCATCGAGCGTCCAGCTGTACTGAGGACTGTCCCCTTTCTCAGAGAGACAGGAAACCTTCATCTGGCCCTGGGACAAACACTCAGAGACCAGCTGGACAGAAGTCACAGGAGCTGAGAAAAACCCAGAAAGATAAATTTAAATTCGAAAATATTGGCTAAGTTTTACTATCTGTTAGGAGTTGGGAAAAGTACAGAATGCACATACAATTACATAAGCACAAAGATTTTATAGAATATACAAGGAGTACAATTTTAGATTTCTTACAACACAACATTTATAAGGAGAAAAACAAAACAAAAAAAAATATTAAGGTTCAACCTTCAACACACAGATGTAGAGTTTTAAAAAGTATATGGTTAATAAAGTAAGGATTTGTTGAATATTTTCTCTGATCCAAATGGATTTGAAAATATAAAATCTAATTAAAAAATATAGTTATAGATCCTTATTAAATCTTGGAATTAAACCGTTGAATGTCATGCAGATAATTAAAAAAAAGCTACATGTTTTTTTTTTTTTCACGCATTATCAAGATAAAAAAAAAATGGACTGTTTGAAAAAAAGAAACCATTATATCATAAATGATGCAAGTCTTTTAAACTGGTTGAATAGTAATTAAAAATACCTAGTTTGAAAGTGATGTCCAAAATTTTTCTATAAAGTTTAGAGCAATTCAGGAATCTGTGTTTTTTTGTCTAGTATATCCTTTTCAAAGCCATTTTTGCTGTGTACCTCATACCTATGTTCACACCTAACGCGATTTGAGCAGCAGAAAGGCAACAAGCACCTGTTGCTTCATTTTTTATGCTTATTCACATTAAGTTCAGACGCACCTCAAGAGCATCTTTGATGCTCCTGAAGGGAATCCAGTAAGGTGTGTACAAATGCATCTTATGCTTGTGCTGCCCCTGTAATCAATGGCAGAGAGCTGCTTTGCTATACTATGATAAGTGGGTAAAAAGTAGTTTTGATATGTTTTTAAGTGAGACATTACACCTCGTAAATCGTCTGCGCAGTCTGTTCATCGAGTTATGATCCTGCCTTAAAATATTATTTCTCTGCCGGAGCTGTGCAGACTCCAACATACCGGTGATGCATTGTCACAGGAAATCCCCAGCAACATCTACCTCAGGCCACGTCGCCTCTTGGGGGATTTCTGCTACTGTTTGTGGCGGGTGGAAGTAGATGTTAGCATTTTTCATCTACGTAATACAAATTGCACACACCAGAATAATTAGAAGCATATAACATACTTTCCTGATAAGTTTAATCATTTTAAGTTTAAGTTTTCAACATTAATAAAGTTTCAGACGAGTGATATTAGTTATCCGCATCAGCAGTACTGTATCCGTCTCCCTGCCATCTGCCAGATCAGTTTCTCTGAATCCTAGATGTGGCGCGTCAAGCAGCAAAAGTTAAATTTTTCATGCATCTCAGATGCTCAAATGCATCAAGAAGCTATTTGAGCTCATTTAACGAGGACATTTCTCCACTGTGAGATCAATAAAGTCAATCGATCAATCAATGTGCTGCTCAACACGTGCTGCAGGGCCTTTTGAGGAGCCTCGATGCTCGTTAACCACAGCCTTTGCATGTAAACCTGCTGCTTCTGCTGCTCAAAGCGGCTGCGGTGTGAATGCAGCATTTGAGTATGTAGAGCAAAATGCTGCTTACACTGCAAAAACAATCCAGAAATAAGTAAAAAATGGCTTAAATTAAGTATATTTAGCCTTAATTTGAGCAGGTAAATAAGATGATTTGCCAATGGAATGAGTATTTTCACTCTTAAAATAAGATAGTTAGATAATATTTACTTGAAATAAGACGATAAAATAGTTTTTTCTTATTTTAAAAGGAAATTGTCTTGTTCCATTGGCAAAGTGTCTTACTTACCTCCTCAAATCAAGAAAAAACACACTTATTTTAAGAAAAAATAACTTATTGAGATTTATATTTTTTGCAGTGTACTAATGAAAGAAAAGTGTGACTGTGTGGGGAAAGATCTCAAATAGTTATACTATTTTTTTGTAAACAGAAACATTTTACTCCAGTAAGAGTATCATTGCATCTAAGCATTTTAAAATACATTAATATGAAAAAAATACTATTTGGTTCAAATTAATTTCTCTCAGGAAAGACAGAAGGGATATTTTGCCATGTCCTCTTACCCATTGTAGTATGTTTGATTGTTGGATAGACTGTTGTTACTTCAACATCCTGGGTGTTGTTTACTTTATCCACCAATATATCTGTTTGTGTCCTATTGGAGGTGCAGTTGATTTTAAAGCCTGGAAGAAAATAAGTTATAAGTCTGGTAGAGGTCATATAATCAATCGGTTAATTGTCTGTTTCTAACTCACCACTGTCAGATATTTTAAAGTAGTTCGAGGAGGAACTAACTTGATTCCTAACTGAGCAGACGAGACGCCCTGAGATATTCTGTCTCACAACGATGATGCTAGTCTGATAATTTCCAGAGAGGAGTTCAGAGTCTTTCAGTGTTTTTCCATCCAGAGTCCAGTTGTACTGAGGACTGTCCCCTTCAGAGAGACAGGACACCTTGATCTGTCCCGGGGACAAACATTGATGGACCAGCTGGACAGAGGATACAGGAGCTAAAAGAAAAAGATGCGGCTGAATAAATTCCATTAATTTTTATAATAATCTTTGAAATATTAAACTAAATATTTATTATTATTTACTCATTGTTTTAAAGTTGTGGTGATGCAGAACACTCAGAAACGTGTTGTGTAATTATCTACATTTGTATGTAAGTAGAATATTAAACATACCTTACTGTAATATCGTCAAAGTATACAAAATGGAAGCTAAAGTGGATTACCTTGAACACATAGATGAAGAGTTCTATTTCCTGTTTCTTTTCCACTTGCATCAAATATTTCAAGTCTGTATTCACCACTGTCCCCCGTTTTTAGGTCATCAATCCTAAATGTTCCATCACTAGGCAAAAAAAGAAATCGACTCTCTTTTAGACTAAATACAGTGTTGTTTTTTCTCCACCTTAATATCACCGAGTTGTTCTTTGTCAGCTGGAAACGTGAAATCTGAGAGATGCTTTTGACCAGGGAAAGTTCCATATTTTCTCCTAAAGCTCTATAATATTGAGCTTTATCTTGTCTGCCATTGCAGGAAGGTTCCACTGCTTAAAAAAGAAAGAAAAAAAATCAATGAGTGCTTAAAGTCCACAAGAGGGAGAATAACAAGTCATGTCATATATAAATAACCTCCTTTCTCTTGTTTTCATGGTTTCAAATTGAAAAATTAAGGAACAAATAACACAGATTAAACCAGTCAACTCTTCATTTAAATAGTGACTACGGATGAGTTGCAGGGTTCCATTTTAGTTTTAATTCTGCTTGCATGTGAAAAAAGTCCATAAAAATATTACTGATGCACAACATTTTATGCTGATGACACGGTTACCATTGTGGCTTGGTGTCTGGTTTGGTCTGGTCTGACTTGCTTCAGCTGAGACTAGTCCTAAATGCTCTTAAAATTAAGGCTTACGTTTTATAAGATTTTACTCTTATAGAAACATGGACAGATACACTCTAGAAGGGACTTTGGTATTTAAAAATATACAAGTACCTTGGTATAAAAAATGACAATATGCCCTACTTCGAATCGTGCTGAAAATAAAAAATTCTTTGACAAGTTACAGTAGCATATACAACTAAAGACTGCCTACCTTTGGTTACATGTACCAAACTTTTACTATAAAAAATTAAACAACAGTCATTATGTGTCACAGAAAAAGAAAAAAACCCAAAATGAAAAAGTGCTATGTCAAAAAATGAGAAGAGCTCACCACCACAGATGCCTATCAGCATCAACTGCAGTCCAATGATAGCATTCATGTCTCTTTACAGCTGAGTTGTTTAGTTGTTTAGTACATGTTAAAAGTATAAACATCTACTAAAGTACATATTGTGCTCTACTACTGATTACCCTCAGAAGATCAACAGCACAAATGGCTTTTGTTAAGAGGAGACATAAAGGAAGGAAACTCAGTAAAACCAAACCTAAAAAAGGCCCCTTGCTGAAGATACCTTCCTCCTTTAAAGTTCTGCATTTCTCTCTGATCATATCACACTATGGTGTGATCAAAAGGTTTATGATCAAAAGTAGCCTTATAAACTTAAGCAGTCTGTGGTATATTTCCCATTAATAGAAATTACTGTTAACCTGCAGAAATAACAGAAAAGTTTTTAGAAAAAGGCTGACATTAATTGTTGAATTGTAGTTTAAAATCTAATCTTATTGAGCAGGTTGAATGCTTTAATGATGTTGCAACACATCAGCCAGCTTGATTCACGAGAGGCAATCTGTTTTTATTTTGATGTGGAAACTTCATCATCTGAAAAAATTAAGCTATGGTCCGGCTCAATGCACTATTTATATAAACTTAATATCTGTTAGGAACACACTGTTATATCAATTGTGTAGGAAGCAATAGCAAGAGATCATTTTGGCAACCATGCAAAATGCCAGGAGGCAAGTGTATCAAACTAATTTCCATCTCACTCATGGGGCAATAGAGCATACCAAATGGTCCTAAGCGTCATGGGAACAAGAGGCAGGTCATTCCTATTGACTGGTACATTACCAGAAGGATAGATCTCCCAGCAACTGAAATTAATACAGATATAAATTGAACAAACACTTTGCGACTAGAAGAAAACCAGAGACAGACCTTAACTATTGCAGATCAACTATAAATCCTTTATAGAATTTCTGTCCGCACAGAGTCTGTGCTGAGGGGCATGGAAGCCCAAAAGCCAATGATTTGGCAGCACAGACCTTGTAGACGCATCAAGCATAAAACAAGCTTAAAGGTATAGAGGACAAGCTTTTATTTCTGGCTGGATCATCTAAATAAGTGGTACTCCTAATCGTCAATCATTCTGTTGATGTGTTTACGTAAGGCCGTCCTACATGCCCATCCGATTAGCTATCTCTTTCTGTGCATGTGCACTTTCAGGCGTTTATCTGTGGTGAGCTACAGTTTTAGACAGTCATTGAATCTCACCTTTCTCACTGAGCTTCTTTGAAAATGGCCTAAGGTCGTAAGGGAAAAAGTGTCCTCGTTTTTGCCTGTGTAAAAGTGTATGAGAAGAAAAGAAAGGCCTCAAAAGAGGGAGATATATCCCAGGATGCTTTGCAGAGTTCTCCTCTCAAAGTGCTATTGGATTTTCTGTCACAGCAGCCCACTGTCACTATAGGCTGTCACTAGCTGACAGTGGGGAGTAATAACAATGCTGGTGCAGGCACTGCACGGAGGAAGAGGAGTTATGTGACCAACGGAGCAAAAAGCAGTGATCATCTGTCCAAACGGTCAGTTAACTGAGTTTGCTATAAAGTCCACTATATAGTCCCTGCTGTATGTGCACACAGTAAGGGCTGGTTTATACTCAGAAACCAGGGTGTCTGCGTGTGTGCCACAGTGAACACAAATGTGCCCCCGCCCCTCTCGCAGACACTATGGTGCACCTCTCCAAAATTGCACAATGCTGCAGACAGTAGACATCTGATTGGTCAAATCTACATCCGCTAGTTTGTGATTGTTTCTCTTGGAATAACATAGCGCAGACCACACTTTAATATTGGGCATAAATCAGAAATATCTGCGACAAGCTCAGTGCGACACGCTGCTGCAGGAGTATAACCTGCCTATAAGCTTGTGTGAGCTATGAGGACAGCACATTTTAAATAGGGCTTCCACGCAGAGAAATGGGCTCATGCATTATCTTGCACACAAATTGTTTTGTTAAGTGGAGATGGTAGGTCTTTTAAAAAATCCTCCACCATACCTTTAAAGAGTCTCTGTAACATCACACATGGTCCATTCAACTGACTATTAAGCTTTGGGGTGAGTCTTTTTTTTTTGCTCAGGGCAGGAGACTGAAACCTTGTCCCCAGATACAAATACCTGTTCATGGCAACGGGAGCCATTGGCCCATTTCTGATTCCTTCTACAGCTAGGCCCTCTCAAGCCAACCTGGAGAAGTTCTTTCAAAACGCTGGCCCAGCTGACTTCTCTGTTTCTTGAGGCGACCGAAACACTAAGTCCACTGGAGTATGCATACGTATGTCATGGGCAAACACCACAAGGGCATGGCTGCAGCGAGTGGCCTCTTGACCTACGGTCCGGTTAGCCCATAGGATTAAGAGCAGGTGCTGATCCATGTCCCGCTGCTTTTAATCTACTAGAATGGAAAGCTGAGTGGATATAGTCTGGTTGAAATGTTTAACCAGCCCATCACTTTGGAGATGAAATGGAGTCGTTTGTGTCTTGTTTATGCTAAAATACTGGCACACCTCACTGAAAACCTCTGCTACAAATGTCCAACCCTGATCACTGTGTAGCTCTTCAGAAGCACCAAACCGGCAGAACATAGCATCACAGCAGTGAACATGGAGCTCTACATGTTGGCAGCAGCCAGCCAATAAAATCTTGATCTGAGGAGATGCAGTTTCCTAAGGATGGCAAAATTGTCCACCCCCACAGAACCATGGATCATCGTAGGCACCTTGACTCACAGCTGTCGGGAACCAGTAGCTGGAAAATGTTGCATTGTGTTCTTGGAGCCCATGTAAGGTTGCCAACCGTCCCCTAAAAAACTGAATTGTTCCATATTTTGAGATAGAAGTACCTGTCCCGTGTTTAGTGGAAAAAGAATGCACTTTGTCCCATTTACTGTGAGAGTGAAAAAAATAGTCAGTAAAAAGCTAAAGGAAAATGAAGAACAAGGGCACTTTTGATACAAAACTTACAGTAAACTTGTTCCCGGGCCCTATCCTGCGTTGTGACCAATGAGCTGACAACATATATGTAACGATCCAGAATACCCTCATCCCATTGGTCGAACCAAGTGCTGCTCATGGAGAAGATATCGTGAGACAACAGATCAGTATGGGTGATGAACAGAGTATTTTAAAGTAAAAAGGAATCCTGGCAGTCCAAAGAAACAGCAGAGAGGTGGATGGAGTTTCTTAAGTAAGCTAACCCTCCCAATATACAAGCTGCTGTGTCCTTTGTCCTCAGCATCCCATTTTCCACTTGTTTTGTGGAGAGGTTTTTTCATTAATGAAGAACAAGCAGACTGATGATTTGAGCTGAAAGTTTAGAGGGACGGCTGGTTTTCATAGATTTGCCATTTGCCTGTGTAAATTCTCAGTCATCTGGGTCATGGCAACCACAAAGCGGCTTAAACTGGAATAAGAGCCACCTTTCTCTTAGTTTATTGAAGACGTTCCAACACCTATCCAGGAGTTTTTGCTTTGAATCAAAATGGTAAGCATCCAACTTACAATCAAGGGCATATTTTGGACTTAGTCATCAGAAAAGGTCTAAATATTTCTAATGTACTGTAGGTGATTTTGCCCTATCAGACCATTTTTTTGTTTACTTTGAAACCCTTTTTCCCAATGATCTAATCACCAAAAACTATGTTGTAAGAAAATGTATGTAATGTGTGTAATGGACAGTACAATTGAAAACTTTACCTAGGCTTATCCTTCTGCTTCCACCATACCATGTAACTCAGTAGATGAGCTTATTGATAATGTCCATTCTAAAGCTGCGGACATCATTGATTAAAGGACTAATGTCCAGGCAGGATCTAGAGAAGATAATTCATGCATCTTTAGTAGGATAGATTACTGCAACAGTGTGTTCATAGGTTTGTCTATAAGGTCTGCCAGACATCTGCAGCTGAGCCAAAACACTGCTGCCTCTGTTTTCATTATAACTAAGAAGGTTCTTAGTCCTGACACGGGCTCCGTGTAGAACAGAGAATAGACCTTAAAATCCTTCTGTTAGTCAATAAGTCACTGATGAAATAATGCTAGATGAAGTATTATTTCAGCTTTACAGAAGTTAATGATCTATCTCCATCATGGCTGCCGCACATTACGAAAGACTCATTGAAGCTAAAGCTCTTCATTCGAACCTGGGTCATGCCGCGTTGAGGACTAAGAGCTCCATACATGGGTTGTGCGCACTAACCACTGCGCTGCCGAAGCACGCCCCACTACGACAGGTCTATGCCTGCATAATCATCACAGGGCATTGCCGCTGTGCATGTCATAGATTTTCAAGTATGCAAAGCTCCACGCTAGCCATCGCAACAAGACCTTAAGGTGTTTAGTCTTGTGGGACTAATCAGATGGCTCCCATTAACATGGCATAATTTACTCCGTTAACCAATTCATTTCTTACGGTTGTAGCTCCATCCTCGTCTTGGGAGATATTTCTTGCATCCGCACCTACCCTCCTTAAACATTCAATGTTCTCTTTGCCTATAAGTTGGCCTGATCAGCAGTGACTGGTGATGGTAAGCTTTATTTTACTTCTCTCCATATTGCGCTTAGTTTTCTTTTCTCAATGTCTCCAGTATTAGTAATCCTTCCTAATGTGCAATAAACCGCTTTCCCCTTTTTTCTCGATCAGTCTCTCTCCGTTTCCCCATCTCTAACACTGCGTCCCACCGCATCATCTCTTTTCATCTGCCTCTATAACTGCGCTGCATTTCCCTTTCATCAGTGTGACCAACTGCACTACTCAGCATCACTGCACATGACTGCACATCTCTGCCTCTCTTGTAGTTTATATAAAAAAACAATCTGATAACGGCAGAACACTTTTTTCTAACAATATAAACTCCCCCTCGTTATGATGCTCTCTTCCACACAGCCCAATGTAGTAAATGCTGTTCTTTAATTGTTTAACTAAGCTAATGAGAATCAAAAAAAGGCTGCTGATATCAAAGTGATGTACCTGCATACCTGTTGTTAAAGAGGCCTTACCATTTTCTAGATTGTTTTTCATTCTGAGTTGTCCTATAATTCTGTCAGATATGTTTACAAGCCCTCTCGAAGTAGTTCAGCAAAGATCAGGAGGAGTGTATGCCTCAGTATATGGTCATTCTCTAAACAGTTATAAGTCTTT